TCCATCTGAAGACTTGTGTTGCATTTTGGGGCAAAGCAAAAAAAAAAATTGTCAAACCACAATATAAAATGCGAGAAACTATTAATTGGTTATTAAAGCAATAAGCCCCAAGAAGCCGTGGTTTACAGTGAATTTATAACAGCTAAGGGGCATTGTTAGGCACGACGCGAAGATCGATCGTGACAAACCAGCCCTCGGACCTGATCTGAAACACGATTTGTTTTAGTGTGAGCATCCTGAACTTCAGTCGCATGACTGAATGGTTCAATTGACATAGATCTAAATTGGGACGCAACCCTCAATCCTTCTTTGGAATGATGAAGTACCGACTGTAGAACCCGGACTCTCTGTCGAGAGGAGGGACCACCTCAATGGCTTCCTTCCTCAAGAGAGTGTTTACATCTTGTTCCATTACCAGAGCCTGCTCGGCCCACCTCCTGGAGTCACAGGGGAGCCAGAGCAGAATCCACACACTTCATGTGGCCTCGGGCCTGATCTGAGACATGACTTGTTTGAGTGTAAGCATCCTGAACTTCAGTCGCATGACTGAGCGGTTCAACTGACGCAGATCTAAAATGGGACGCAACCCTCCATCCCTCTTCGGAACGATGAAGTACCGGCTGTAGAACCCAGACTCTCTTCCGCGAGGAAGGACCACCACGCTCATTATCCGAGCCTGCTCGGGACCCACCAAGGTGGGCATAACCCAGACCTCTGGTGTAATCAGAGCGGCTAGCTCGGTGCCCTGAAGCGGCAGACCGGCAGGGGATGACCGTACTAGCTGCTCTAGCCCTCTGATGCATGAATTATTAAATCACAAAGTAATATTTTTTTTACATGTTTGTTTTTACTTTTAAGCAAGTGAAAAATCATGCCAATTTTTTTTGTCAATATATTATATTTTGAGGGAGTTACATATCCACGAATCAAACGTATAAAAAGTAAATCAATAGAACTTAATGGGTGGTCTTAAAAAACACATCTTTAAAATATTTACGACGTGAAAATGGTATGAATACACATAAGAACATTCAATAACAACAAGCTGTGTCATGACGGCACAGAAATGTGAAGCGTAACAAACAAAACGTTAGAGTGTGTGTCTATGGGCCAGGGGTGTGTGGGGTTGTGTGGGGCAGTGTGTGTGGGGTGGTGGGCTATTCATACACATGTGAGCACAAATACAAACACACACAAGCACAAACACCCTCCCACAACACACTTGAACACAATCATACACACATATATCTGCACTCATAAAGTATACATGTATACATGCCTACAGTTTTATATGACCTAATAAATAAATATAGACTGTAAGCATTGAAATAAATGATAAAATCTGAAGACGATTTAATATTTCTGTTCAATAAAACCATTCAAGTGCAAATTATATCATAATTTTAATAAAACACAAAATAAGGCAGAACCTATATATAGGCCCATAGGCAGAATTTTTTCCCTTTGGTGCATGACGTCTACTGTAGTGGACAGGTATATTTTCTGTCACAGCAAAAAATTTACAAGAAAAATATTGTTAAAATCTGGATGAAACTATTTCTGACATCCTAAAAAAAAAATGTACAAGAAAAATATTGTTAAAATATGGATGAAACTATTTCTGACATCCTATTTAACTGAAAAAATATTTTTTGTACCTGTCTGGTTTTCTGAGAGAATAAAATTATTTAACACTTATTGCCGAGGTACATGATGCATCCCCTTTTCCTGCCGCCATTTTGAATATATTATGCAATATCACACCGCCAGGTGACTTCCTAAGGGAACCAGTCTCACGAGACTGGCCTCTGGTGGACTTAGAGCAGCTAGCTTCGTGCCCTGAAGCGGCGGACCGGCAGGGGACGGCCATACTAACTGCTCTAGAGACCTCCGTAGAGGTAGCGAGCCTCTTAGCACCGCTATGTTTCCGGGCGGTAACTGAGAGAAGCGCTCGCCGGAGACCGCTGCGCTCTGGAACACCGGCAGGGTTGGCAGACTGATCTCCTGAGGGCACTGACGAGAGACGTGCACCGTGTGATGCGGTGTACATCGCTCTTCCCCAGAGGGGCCTGCTCTCTGAGGTCCTGAGCCATATCATCAGGACTCTCATAGCTGAAGTCTCACCGGAGACCGGTGCACCCTGGAACACCGGCAGGGTTGGCAAACTGATCTCCTGAGGGCACTGAGGAGAGACGGGCACCATGTGATGCGGTGTACACCACTCTTCCCCAGAGGGGGCTGGCCCTCAGAAGTCTAAGGCCTTAGGCGTCACGAGGTTTTAGACGAAGACTATTGTAGCGTCTGGACCAATCAGACACACCATTTTTCATTTGATTTAACAAATCAGTTATTCATTAGATTAACAAACGTTCACAGACCCCTCACCCAATAAACATACTGGGTGCCAAGTTGTCTGTGAACAGGGCCCAGGACCCTGGTTACCATGGCAACCCTGAGCCACCAGAATGAGGAGCTGGAACACGGTAGGTTGGGACTGCTCCCGCCCAGCAGCCCCTGCTGAGTGCCTCAACCTCCTCGGAGGAAGAGAGGTAAAAACGTGCTCTCACTCGAGAAATTTTTATCCCAAGAGCCCCTGTATTTCTAACTTCTTATAGTCAGATAAATAATTCATTTAATTCCTCAGAATTAAATGCAGTCAAACAACCAAACGAGTAAACACGGTCTGGTGTGATAAGATTCATATCAAAAACCGAAAAGGATGTAATGCACGCGTTGCCTCGGCAGTGAGCGAGCCGCTCGGTCACACAAACAATATCAGTCTCCTCGGAGAAAGATGGCTGCAGGAGCAAGCTCTCACTCAGAGTGGGAAGAAACCGCAGCACGGGCTTCCGAGCCTCGAGAGCGAGTGCTAGATCTAGGGAACGTGGGTGGAGATAGGGAGAGCCCGTCTCCAACCTGTCCACCAGATCATGTGTTCCCCGCGATCTCAATCGCCGCCGTGCCTCAGCAGCAGCGGGACCGGAACCGCAAGATCACAGGCACGGACTCACTCCTCGGAGCGTGACCGGCGAGAGCGGAGTGCTTAACAGCGGGAAAAGCAGAATCAGTCCCCGGGAGCTGACTGCGCGAGCTCTGCTCCCCAGTAATGCTAATATGCTTGTGTAACTGATGCTTGTGCAACTGGCGAGCTCATCGACACCCTCCATATCAACCTACTCGGAGGAAGACAGGCAGAGCGTCGAGCCCTCTCCCCAGGGGGAAGAACTGCAGCGCGGGCTTCCGAACCCCGAGAGCGGGCGCTGGATCTGGTGGTTGAGGAAGAATATAGGGACTCGCCTGTCTACATTCCCTCCGCCGGATCCATATGCGAACCCCACGAGCACAGCCGTCACTCCGCCTCAGCGAAAGCGGGGCCGGTGCCGCGAGAATAGTGATGTCCGGTTCGCGAACGAATCGTTTGATTTAACAGATTACTGACTTTATATTTGAATGTGTTAAGCTCGCGATAGACTTAACGCCATTACGTCATCGCCAATGACGATGACATTACGTCGAGCGTAAAAGAACCGGTGAACCGGTTTTTTCAACCGGTTTATTGAATCGAACTGTCCGAAAGAACCGGTTCGCGGAAAAGAACCGAACTTCCCATCACTACGTGAGAAACGCTAATGAAGGCTCCCTCCTCAAAGAGAGCCTTCTGAGAGCCAAGCAAGGCAGTAACAAAGGCGTTCCTATAGAGTTCGACGCAGCTCGAGTTCCTGAAGGGGAACTCCCAGTTCCCAAGTTGTAATTACGAGTTCTACGAGGACATGAACGCTTTTTACAAGTTGGAATCTCGTAATTACAGGAATTCCGATATGGCGTGAACGCACTAGGGCTGTCAAAATGGCTGAAAAACTAAATTCGAATTTTGTGCTTAAATATGATCAAAATTCGAATTATATTCGAATTTAAAATGCATAATTTCAGTTAGGGTAAAGAAAAGCTTTAATCTGTGAAAAAAAGTGCATAATGTTTAAAATAATGTTTATAAACCAATTATAATTAATTAAGTTGCTTAAACAACTATAAACAAAACAGCATCATGTATGCATTCATAGTTTAATACAAAAGGCCGAAAGGCAATCACACAGAGTAAATTTTTCGTTTAAAAACACGAGTTGCAGTGGGATGGGGAAGACATTACGTCTCGAGATATGTTTTTTCAAAGTTGAACTTGCATTAATTTTACATGGCTTTCTAAACATGCGGTTCTCTTGTGTGAGACGCACGTGCAACGGTGATAGATGCGCGAAAAATGCATCTCAACGTTTTTGTATTCGAATGTGGATTTTTATTTAAAAATTCGACGAATATTCGAAATTCGAATTTTTTTTAAAGCCCTAATGGGCCGCTTTGTGATATCACAAAACACGGAAAACAACGCTGTAGTCCAAACGAGCCGTTCGTTGTAGTTCTTGAAAAGGGATTTAAAAAAAACGAAATACCTCCCTTTGGAGTGGACTTTGAGATTTGTAACTAGTCGCTTTGTGATATCACAAAGCCCGGAAAACAAACGCTGTAGTCCAAACGAGCCGTTCGTTGTAGTTCTTGAAAAGGGATTAAAAAAAAACGAAATACCTCCCTTTGGAGTGGACTTTGAGATTTGTAACTTTGTAGATCTTTTTATGCCCAAACACACACTTGACTAAAATTCAAAAAGTGAAAAAGCATAGTAGGACCCCTTTAAAGAACTTCAATTCTGTTTTACCACCTGCATGATTATGGTGTAGCCTATATTTTAACACATAAAGCAGAATTTATATGTTCGAGTAGGTTAGTGTATTAACATTAAATCAGTTAGCCCATTGTAAAGTGTGCATTTTAAATGCATCAAAATTACCAGAGGTCACTGAATTTGTGGTAGGCCGCTTCCTGCATGTCAATTACAATGAGCTCATATTGCTCTCTCGTGACGTCAAGATGCCCTTATATTACACGCCTGTTGCGCGTTCAGCAAAGCTCGCGCGCTCAGCTGGAATGCTGAAAGACGGGTTCACAGCTGGGACTGCGAAGCATTTTGCCTCTAGAATGCAACTATGTGCAGCAGACAAATTAAGTAGCACATGAACGGACACCAAACGGTCAACATTAATTTGCAGCGACACGCGCGCTGCGACCTCGTTAAAAGCTGAAAACAGTTGAGAAACTCTGATGGATACTGCGGACTTTAATGAGCAGAGTTGTCTGCCTGCTACTTAGATAGCCAGTTTGAGTGCCTCTTTTGAGCGTCGAGCGAAGCCCATCTGTCAACAGCCCAAAGTGCTCTCAAAGGTGAAGCGCGCTGTCAGTGAAAATCATCATCATCATCATCTGTACCGAGTTATGATGCTGATGCGCCGCGTTGCGGTATTCGTTAAAACGAGAAAAACGGGTAAATTAGAGGCTCTTACCTCACGAAATTCAGCACTGACTCAAAACAACTTTTCTAACGATGTTTTTCGAGCAGGCTGATTTAATCTACAGCTTTAACATGAGTGAGGAAGACCGGCTAACTCTTCTGGACGGGGACTGGAACGACTCACCGGTGGAGACGCTCTCACGCGCGGGCTTCATCGCTCTGTCCGTGTTCCTGGGATTCATCATGACTTTCGGCTTTTTCAATAACTTTGTCGTGTTAGTACTCTTCTGTAAGTTTAAGACGCTCAGGACGCCGGTTAACATGCTGCTTCTTAACATTAGCGTCAGTGGCACGCTGGTGTGTAAGTTCGGGACGACCCTGAGCTTCGCGTCCAGTGTGCGGGGACGGTGGCTGCTCCGGAGGCACGGATGCATGTGGTACGGCTTCATCAACTCCTGCTTCGGTACGTACTCAAAACACATTATTAAGCAGCTCCGTTTCGGAATTTTGCAGGGTTTTTAAGTTGTAAGTGGTCAAAACTGATCACACTTGTAACACAGCTAGTCATCATTCATTTAAAACCTGTTTTTGTGCTTTCATTAGGATGGATTTTGATGTCACTTTTCATAAAACTATTGTTTCAAATACAAGATTATTATGACATATACTGAGAACATTGATTTAATCACTAGAACACATCACAATGTCAACAGTCAGTTAATGCAAACACTTCAACACATCACACATTTACATGTATGTATTTGGCAGATGCTTTTATACAATTCAGGGTATACTTTTCTCACTTCATGCATTCTCTGGAAATCAAACTAATGACCTGCTGTTGCTCAACTAGCATACACTCTTGAGGTTCCAAAATGGGGTTTTGCAATGATGCCATAGAACAGTGTTTCCCAACCTTTTTTCAGTCGCGGCACCCTTTGGAAATTTTAACAAACTTGTGGCACCCTACAAAAGATTTTTTTACACGGCACCCCTGCTCTCAACAGACGGCACCCCAGGGTGCTGTGGCACCCCGGTTGGGAAACACTGCCATAGAAGACCAATTTTTGGTTTCCAAAAGAACCTTTCATTGAACAGATCTTAAAAGAACCTGTTTTTCATAGTGTAAAGAACATTTTAATAATCTGAAGAACCCTTTACCACTATAAAGATATGGTTAAGTGCAATGGAAAGTTTCTTTGAATGTTAAAAGTTCATCATGGCACCATAGATGCCAATCAAGAACCTTTATTTTTAAGTGTGTACATGACAAAAATCACCTTTGTCACAGTCTAAATACACATATAACTGACACAAAATCTAATGTCTGTACATCTATCCAGTGTTGTCAACCGCAGATCTTACACCTCAAGATGGTGAGATAATGTGATAAACCCACTTGGATGGATATGAAAGAATCTAAAACCTCCAAACATCATATCATCTCTAAAATATCTAGAAACTGGGATGCACCATTAGAGTTTTGGTTTACTCATAAAATATGTTGAGCTTTTTTTATTTAAAAATGAAGACAACAGTATCAGCTTTTCTTTTCTTTTTTTCTGATCTGTGCTCACATTGGGAGTATAATGGTATAGCCGACGAGTGTGGTTGCAAAGTACTTGCAATTTTGTCCTTCAGATTCTTTTTTGTTCTGTATTCCTATAGCATCACCAAGGTCATGAGTCTAATTATAATGGCATGCATGAACTGATAAAATCTGTAGTTTGAATGCAACATACAGGCTAAAAGTCTCTCCCCAATGTAAATGAATCTATTTGCATTTTCATCACAGTCTTTATTGGAAATGTACTGGGGATTATCAGTCAGGAAGGATGTTAGCTAAATCATGTAAGGGAAGCCTTAAGGGGAAATCTGGAATGCAAGCTAAAACATTAATTTTTTTTTAAAAGCATAAATATGTCAAATTTTATTTTCTGGTAAGCTTTTAACTAGCATTATTACAATGCGATTTGTAGTAGCAAGGTTCACAATGCTGTTAGAGCAAAAGACAAGCTGCGTGAAGCTTCTGCTACAAGCTGAAGATCATGATGTCTACAGAATCTACAGGACAATTTGAGATTTCTTAACAAGAAAGTCTAAAGTTGTGAGTTAGACAGGCAGTTGAAAATCATGTTTCATAAATTCTACCACAAAGTGAAGAGATCATTACATTATAGATCTGTATTATCATTTTTTGATCAGGATCTCAGGTATGGGGTGAGAAATAAAATCTATCAAGACAAGCACTTTGTTGCGTAATATGCTCTGCACTGCTCTAAATGCCTCAAACTACTCTCTATTCAGCTGTTTGCATGTGCTGTAATCTTAGGGTGTGTTCACTTGTAGTTCAGTTCTCTTGGTTCTTTTATTCTGGACCAAAAAAGAAAAAGAAACATAGTATTCGCTTAGCATTCACAATGTCAATTTTTACACAGAACCGAATTTTAACACAGAAAAAGATACAAAACAGAAGGCATAAGGATACGGTCCCAACCTGATTGGACAGCTTTACATTTTGCAAACTTACCAAACATCCAAAACAATTCTGTGTGCTGGGTTAAATGCGCTCGTCGTATGTGTACACATGGTGGTATTTTTACCAGCTGATAACTCATAAAGAGCTTATAAAATTTGTAAAGGAGTTTAATAAACTGCGCAGATTCATTCGATGCACAGATGGAGATCTACTGCAAGGAGACGGTGTATTCTTAAGCATTTTGTCCTTTTTAGGGTCACATCTTGTGACATCACATCCTGAGTGCATGTCTTTGGTCCACATTGCACTGATATATCTGTCAAACCACTATAATATGAGTTCATATATCAGTCAAAATGCACCAGAGTTCATTTAGAAGTGGACTGAGACCAGCTGAAAGGGTCCACTTTTTTGGTGCGCACCAAGGTTCAGATGACAGCATTCATGCTTATTCAAATGAACCACACAAATAGAGCAAACACTCCACAGTTTATTGTAATGAACCAAACCTGCCAAGTTTGAATACACCTTGAATTAGGTTTTTTGGTCTGGAGGCTGTTGATGCTTATGATGGTGTTGACATTCAAGTTAGAGGTGAAAAGAGCAAAACCTGCTGCATTATTCATGATTTAATACTACAGTGGGTGATCTGTTTTACAGAACTAATAACCCCAAGACAGGAAACTGGTGTATCCTCTACTGCACAACACGTATGTGGGTTTGTAACACGTAGAGGAGAACTCTTGCAACTCACTGTATAATGATGTTTGCTCTATAGTGGGAGAGAAAATATATGGCTGACATTCCACAAGTTTACCGCAACAATTAGTTTCCCCAAGGACAACTTAACCACTGATTTCTAGTCGTGTCCATTTTTGGAAGACCAAACAAAGTAGTTTCGCTTTCACAACGAAACACTCGGCGGGCTAGCGTGAGCGGAAGCCGCAGCCTAGCGTGAGCAGAGGCGGCGGATTCGACGAAGGAGCGGCAACCACATGTGACGACCCCGGGCTGGACTCCGCTTCGTCCACAGTGAAAGCCGATCCGGCGATTCACAGCACTAAGTTGATGTATTTCCTCAGCGACCAGCACAGATCAGCTCTAGGCATGACGAAGCGGATATCGTCCTCTTTTGGAAGACCAAACAAAGTAGTTTCGCTTTCACAACGAAACACACAGCTCTTCACGACATGGCGGCGGCAACAATACTACAGCGAGAATAAAAGTTACGCCTTCTTTCTTTGCGTGAACATTTGGGCGGCGTTATGCAAATCTTCCCACATAGTGACGTAGATATGTGGGGGCGTGTTAGAACGAGCCGTGTTAGGTAGGCGTGGTTAACTCTTAACTTTTATAAAGAATATCTCTTTGTATTTGAGACTTTAGTCTTTGCAACTTTACAGATCTTCTTTATGCACCAAGAGCTCGTAACACTCCAAAGAGAAAGGAAAAATTTAAATCGCATCATATGACCCCTTTAATTGTGTTCATGAGGGAAACAGTTTCCCAGTATTTAATATAGATAAGCATGAATATTTAGTATCTTTTATGTTGTGCTTTTGCTTTTTCTAGCTCTAGGTGCTTGTTTTTTTAAGCTGTGATGCACAGAGACTATGGCAATAGTTCAAACGGAAAGATGCTGTGTTTTCTCACACAGTGGTTTATGCCTTATCAGTAGATTCAGGCTGTTTCTGCAGCTTTGGCTATGTCAAAGATTGCATTTTGAGGAATAGATTCCCATCTGAAATGTAGGCTACATAAGCAACATGTTGCATGAATATTAATATAACAAAAATAGTAAAATATTCTATTGCAAAGTTTGTGATAAGAATATCACTTTATAAAAGGCATGCTCGAAGGTTTCAGTTCAGACTTCAAACTCACAGATTAAAACAGATTTTCAGAGCTCATATAATTGTAACTAGTGGTCGACCGATATGGTTTTTTTGACAGCCGATATTGATATCTTGGAAAGCAGGGTGGCAGCGAACAAGAGGGAGAATGTGAGCACTATGTGCTCAGGCGCTGCAGCCGTTCTTGGTGCCGTCAAAATAAAAGTCCCGCCTTGAAAACATCGGCCAAACAGTAAAACTTATCGGTCGATGCCGATATTTGAAAAATGGCAGATACCGGCCGATATATCGGTCGACCACTAATTGTAACATGAATGGGCTGCTGTAAAAGGCCATGTTATCTCACTGGAGCTGTATAGAAGCAGGTGGAATATATAAAGCAGACAGCAAATATTATATTTTATATTCAGTTATCCTCTATCTTTGCTGTTCTTTTCTGAGCTTCTAAACCTCTTTGTCAGCCTGAATTTTCCACCTCTCAAGCTAAAATGCAGAGCTACCTCACTAATAAATGATTCAGTGACGCATTAATAAAGACAGTTCCTGCATCCAAATATGCTTACTCGACTATATATATCTTAGTAGATGAAAAATAGTGAAAAGAGTAGTATGAATTCATAGCCACAGGAGAGGATGTGTAAATGGCAGTGAAATGATAATGCACGGTCTATGTCACATGACATGATGAACATAGTGCATCTGGACTTCATACTACTAATATTCATGCCATATAGAACATACTTTTTATTAGCTGCAAAGTACATCTTCTGTGAATGAATCCGCATTTTGAACAAGTCAGTTTAGAATGATTCAAAAAGAGTCTGAATGGAACAAACACAGGCAAGCGGAGTGATACAGTCAGTGAAATGTCCCAAAGCTGTTGGACTGTTATATCAGCACTCTTGGAACGCTGTTCGACCAATCAGATTCGAGAATGGACTAACTGTTGTATAATGTGTCTTAAAAATGTCAAATGCAACTCTGAAACTAGAATGCGAGAAGTTAAGCTGATGCCTAGATGAAAATATTTACTTTGAAGAAACACAACTCTGGCTGTATTTTTGTGTACACACTTCCTCATTTGCATGTGTTAAATAATTTAATCTCCTGCACCCACTTCTATAGCTTTAA